CCGTGAACAGTGCTCACGACGTGAACAGTAACTCTGACTTCCACAAATTGGCCAAAACACTAGCTAATTCACGGGATTTCACTCCAAAATCACAACAACCCAATTCAAGCTAATTTACACTTAAACCAAGCTTAAAAACATAACTTAATCTACCAAAATTTTCCCATTTCTCACGGCAGCACAGGGAGAGCATAACTTTAGCAAATCACAATTCACACACACGGAATTTTCACACAAAACATCACAGCAGCTAATTCAAGCTCAATTCTACTTAATCAAGCTTAAAACACATTTAAAATGCTACTAAATGCTACCGGAATTCCTCCCCATTTTTGGCACAATTCGGACACACAAAGCAGCAATTAAATGGCTAATTTAGGGCTTAAAGAAGTGGCCATCATACCAGAATTTTCCAGCAATAACCGGACTTGGCAGGGAGAAGAAGCCGGCGGCATCTGCAGGGGAAACTCACGGACTACCCAAAAAAATTGCGGGAAATAAACAGAAATTAGCATAACCCAGCCTAAATCAAGGTTAAAGAGATGATTTCTTGGCTGTGGCTTACCCGAAAAATGCCCAGAAATTCAAACCCACATAGCAGCCGGCGGACAGAGGAGAAGAGCAGAGCAAATCCGGGATTTTCTGGGTTGAGAGGGAAGATTCTAAGCCTCAAATCTTGTGATTTAACAAGAAAGGAAGAGAATTCATCAAGATCCCACCGAGTTTCTCAAGGGGGAAGAAAGTCGGTGGCTTGGGGGGGGCTTGTCGGGTGCAGGGGAGAAGAAGAAGAGCATATCACACGGATAAGGAAGAAGAAAAAGAAAGAACAACTCAGCCATCCTTATCCTAATTTCCTTTCTTTTTAAGTCCCTCAAGTTTGGACATTTTGGCTATTAAGCCCAAAACAATATCTTTCTCACACAAAAACCCTTACCTAAATGCTAAAATAGCACAAAATTTTGGGGTATTACACCCCCAAACTTTTTCAATGATTTGACCAAAATCAAAGAACAACAACTTATGCATTAACCTAGGCCATAAAGAGAAAAAAATAAAAAAAAATCTAAACTATTAAAATAAAAAACAAAGAAATAAAAGAAAAGGTAAAATTTATGCTTGGGTTGCCTCCCAAGAAGCGCTTAATTTATAGTCATTAGCTAGACTTTCTACCACTCCAAAGTGGTTTTGAATCAGGTCGTAGTGCATGTTCTCTCATTTTCTTAAATCTTGGCTTTTTTGCCTTTAAGTTGAATCCACCATAAGATTTTTTTCCAAGTACTATTCTGTGGTGGTTTGGGTTTAGGCCAAGAAATGTGCCTTCCCAATTCTTCTAGGATTGCCCCCTTTGATTCCAAGTAAGATGAGGATGTGTTCAAGCAATTTATATATTCTTTGATTGGGTCCTTTGCTTGAATAAGATAAATCTCAAATGGATCCTCATAAGTGTTTTTCTACAAAATCTCATCAACCATATCAATACTAAAATAATCATTAAAATCGGATTTGGTTAATAGAGACTTCCCATTGGACACTTCAAATGACACTTGAGCTTTTTCCTCTTCTTCTTTAGGGACATCCTCTTGTTTAGTTTCTGCAGGCATAATTTCTACTTCTCCAAGTTGTCCTTCAATCTCCAAGGGTAAAGTGCTGACCTCTTCTTCTTGACTTTTCATTATTGCACTAGATAACTCACCTTGTATTTCTTCAATAACTAAGTTGAGCAAACAACTTGATTGAACTTCCAGATTTTTATCCAAACATGTCTCCTCTGCTTGAGCTTGAAACCTTGACTGTGGCTTCAATATATCTTCATTATCCCATGAGGAATTTAGATAATTTATCCAATCAAAGTTGCAAGTATTGGGATAAGAATTACACTATTGGCTATAAAAATCACAAGAAAAATTAGCATGCTTGTTAGATGGTTTAAATAAGCAATCAAAACTAAAATGGTCTAATTCACACCATTGACAAGTAATATTAAATTGTTTTATTATAGCCTCCTTTAATTTGATCTTTTCAATGACAGCTTGAAGTCGTTCAAGTTCATCATTGTCAAGTTCTACTTCCCAATTGATAGTTATTACTTCAGCTTGTGCCCTTATCTCTGGAGCAAGATAATGATAACTTATATCAGTGTCTATGACAACTCGATCCATAATTAGACTTATAAAAACAAAAACAAAAGAAATGAAAAAAAAAATCAAAGTAAAGAAATAAAAAAAAAACTTTCAAATTAAATCTAGAATTAGCCAACTTCGATATTAATTAAAATCAACAATCCCTAACAACGATGCCAAAAACTTGATGCGCTAAAATCATTCTAACAAGTGTATTAGTTGCTCTAAGTAATATAATGATAAGAAAAATGTCGAACCCACAAGAAGAATTGCGATTAATTAAGTACCAAAATAATTAATTTAAATTTATTTAAACAATCGAAAAGGAAGAAACTCTAATTTAAAATAATAAAGAGAAAATAACAATTAAAATAAAACCAATCAAGATATGAGGTAACAAGGCATCGATTTCACCAAAATCAATCAATATAAATTCTAGATTAATATACTTCCAAAACCAATTGTTGAGTGCTGTTGCATGTTGTTGCATGTGATGACGAATTCCCCTAAATTAATTAACTAGGTTTCGTAAGTCAAGTTAATCATTCACTTATTTATTAAATTAATTATATCTCTATATAATTTTAAACAAACTAATGAGCATTAAATTCTATGGAAACTTCAAGCTTAAGAATGGGGAGCTAGTAACTCTCTTTTCTTCCTCCACTACCACATGGACGTTAATTACCTCTCGGTTTCATAGTCTAACACACGGTTTATATTATTATTAGTCTAATTTACACAATTCTTTCTTAAGTTCATGCATAAATCAGTAAATCAATCGAAAGATTATCAGGTTTTCAATGCATTAAGTTCAATAATATAAACTCATCATGCAAATAACTTCAACTAAAAGTACAAAAATTATAAAATCTATATTAAATTGATTAAGTTATATCGTAACCTTAATAAAATAAATTAGTTCATAATAAAAATAATAAAACTTAAAACTATAGTTATCAATATAAGAATATCAATGAAGAATAAAACTTAATTTGAGAAACTTGAAATTCTTGATATTCTATTATTGCATGAATCCTCTATCTTGATTTCCAAGAGTACCCAAAAGAGGGTTGTTACTAGCCTTCGAAAGCTCTCCTCAAAAACTTTCCACCAAAGCTCTCCTCCCAAAGCTAAACTTGGATAAGTATTTATAGGATTTTGGAAACTCTAATTAGAATAGAAATGAGACCCACATCCAAAATAATAAATTAAACATGGATTTTGAGAAAATTACGTAAGGGGTCAACACCTTCAACAAGGTATCGACACGTAGCGCATAATACCCTCACTAGTCGGGTTTTTGGCCTTCTAAGCATTTTTGTTAATGGTGAAATAACATTCTGGTCCCTGACTTCTGGATTCTGTATGAGTTAATCCTCATGTTCCTGATCTTTGCAATTTGCTCTTAAGAATTATGAGTTCTTCCAATTAAATTCTTTCCTATACAAAAAATAAAAATTATGTAAAATCCAATAAAATCTCATAAAACTCATCCAAATATCAATAATATCAACGCAATTTTTTTTAATATCTATATAAATTCAACTCATCACAACACTTGAAGAAGTAGAGAAATCCAATCTCATTTATTTGCAAAAAATTCCAAAAATACAAAATTTTCTTACTTTCTTCCGCTGTCCCACACCTCACACTTTTCCCTTTGCTTCTATTTTTCCTTCTGTCCCACACCCTCTCTGCTGACCCTCAATATTTGCTCCAATTCTTCCTTCTTCTTTTTTTTTTTTTCTTGCCCTTCTTTGCCTCCAAGACCCCCCTTTTATACATAAAGAATATAGAACCGGGGATTGTGAGTTTTGAAGGCTAGGGTTCAACTAAACCCTGGCCTTTTATTTTTAGTTTAGGCTAGAAGTAAAATGATGTCATTTGATCATTTCTTTCTTTTAGCCCTTCAAGTTTCATGCTTTTACAAAAATGGTCCATTGGCTTTCAATATTATTATTCAGCACCTAATTAAAATTGGGTTATGACACCATCAACTAAATTACATAGAAAAAATATTAAAGAGATTTAATATGGTCAAATCTCATTCTTTATGTTCATCAATGGTTGTTTGATCCCTTGACCAAACACTTATTGCACAAGGACAATTCTACTTATATTGCACAAATAAAGAAAGGTTACATTAAATGAAATAAAACTAAACACATTTCTCCAAAGTTTTTTCCTACACATGAACTCAAAAATGTTAGTGAAATAAATGTATAGTAAATCAATTCAAATGAGAATCTTACAAATCATTTTCCAAAGTTATTGTTTACCAAAGTTTTTGAACAACTTCTACACAAGATACGTATGCGACACCTTAAAAAGTTTCATTGAAATGAGGGGTGCACTTTTTTTCCCTTCGTTACAATTTTTTCTACAAGGTTTTTTTTAGTAAGGTTTTTAATGAGGCAATTCAATAAGCATATAATTATTGAACATCTAAGAGGGCTATTATGAACCATACAAATGAATGGATGTTTCACCTTATACATTCCACCTAGCATATCCCATCTTTCATACTCACTTGACTTCATTTAGAGTTCCATTAAACTACATTCATAGAACCATCACATTAATGGAACCAAAAGGCTTTCTTCAATGTTCTAATTAATTTTGCTCATGAATCTACTCAACTTTATCCCTTGAATTTATATATAATGTTTGTTCTCCTTAGCCTGTTATATAAGCTTGCATTATACAAAGATAATCATTTTTTTCATATAAAAAGTCGTGATCAACCTCCATCATTAAAAGTGAAGAGATGACTTGTCAAAATTTTGTATAATTATAGTGTATAAGACTTGTATGTAAGTGAATCCATATTTATATATATATATTACCTAAATTGGCAATTCAACAACAATTGAAAATGTTAGCATTTTAAATATTAGGACTTAGATTTAAAAAATCTTAAGAACCTATTATCAAATAAGAAAAATCCAAAAACAATTTAGTAATGGTCAAAGTAAAAAAGTCTAGTCAGAGGGCTAAAACCCTTATATTTAGTAAATTAAAGGGTTAAAACCTTAGCTTTAACTTGAAGGGTAAAAGGTCTTAAAGACGAAAGGTTTATGAGCTTGTAGTTGGTATAAGCCTTTATAAACTAATTTTTTTGACATTATAATTGAAAAAAAATATATAAACTAATAAAATAGCAACTAAAAAAATACTAATCAATACTTATTAAATTTTGCTATCATTAAATTAATCCCAAAATGCCTTAAAGCACAAAGACTGCAAAAAGACTTTTATTGGACTAAAATATATTTTAATATCTATATTACCTTTTATGATTATTTGAGTGGTTTTATTTTAAAATTTTAAAATAATCTAAAAAATTCTATTAATTCAAATTCATTTTCTTTGGCTTTTCCACGACATCAGTTTCATTTTCTTTGATTCAGCCATTATCTTCATTGTTCTCAATCTTATTTGATTTCGCAAACGATTTCCCACTTGGGTCAAATGAAAAGGATGGTTTGCATAGAAAATTTCTAGGCTGGAGAAACAATTTTGCCCCTAGGACAGTCACTTGAAGGTGATCACAAGTAAATCACTTGGAATTTGATTAAATTTTATGTTGCTACTTGTGCGATCATGGTTTAAGGTTTGCTTCTCTTAATAATTTCCTCCATTTAATTTTTGTTATTGGAAGTTGAGTCAACAAATATCAAAATCAAATTGAAGTTTTGAGAGAAACAAAAATAGGATTAATTAAAAGGTTGTTTGATTAGAAAGAGTTAGACAATTTCTTCTGATACCTTCTATCCCATACGTCCCTCTTCTATGGCGGTAGGGTGTTTTATGTTGCTACCTGTGGGATTAAGAGTTGAAGTTGATGGGGATGTAGTGAAGATGATAGAGTAGTTTTGTTAGAGGGAGCAGCTCTTCAGTCAATTTCTCCTAATTCTCAAATTTCATCTTTAGCGTTTCCCATCTTCAAGTTTGTGAAATGTGAATGAGAGCCATTGATGTCTTATTCTGATACGCTTCACTAATTATTCATTTCCACTTGCTTATGTTTACATGCTTATGCCTTGTTTTCTCTTTTCAAACTCCTTATGATGAATAAGACTTTCAAGATTGAAAATTGACTAAGTTTTAGAACCATGTGTGTGTTTACAGATGGAAATGAGCACAAGTTTACTTATGGATTTATGAATGTATCAATAATAAGAAATTTTAGTGATTGAATTACATTTGTTCAATATATATTCAATTATCAAAAAAGAAATTGTTTTATATAAGTAATAGAATTTTTTACTTTTTTTGATTTTAGAGTTAATAAAGATTGCAATATTTGTATTGTTCAATTCTTCTATAACATGAATGTTTAAGTGGTTGTTTTTTATATATCTATTTACAAAATTAAATTACCATAATTTTGAACAAAAGTGGTTATTGATTTGGATAATGCAGCAATACCAAAAAAAAAAAAAAGTAAATAAATGCAAAAAAATATAAGTTTTGGGATTTAAGTGAAAATTTATTGAAAGTTAAGGGGCTATAAGGCAAGAAGAAATGTTCGAATCATGGACAATAATGAATGAATTTGAAGTTTAAGCACCAAAGTGTACATAAAGTAGAAGTATAAGGACATATATATTATCACGATTGCAAAAAGATCCCACCTGACACGGTTGGGTGCATTTACTACTTGGTCAATGTGGATAACATTCGATAATACGTTGAGCGGCCTAGAGTGATATTTTGATACATGTCAATACTCTTGTATAAATAGGGGCAACAGCTTACAAGAAGACCCTTGTGGGTCTCACCGTCTGTCTGTATTTTATTTATTTATTTATTTTTGAAGTCTAAAGAAAATATATGTGAAATCTTCATTTTGGAGGGATGGGAAATTCTTAAAAAAGAATTATATGTATAAGTTATTTGCACTAATTAATTGATGTAAATCTTTGATAAAAAAATATGTTTTAATATAAAATTTTATAAAATATAGAGATGTAAAATGTATATATCATATTTATTTCTCTTCTTTTTTATTTCTGGAGATGGTAAACTTGTTTTACCATTGTTCTTGTGGTTAATTTCTAAAAAAATTATGGTTATATAAGTAAAAAAAGAAAACATTTCATGTAAAAAGCTGTTGAATCTCACATTTACAATTTGTTATCTATTATGAATTTTAACCAATCATTTTCAAATCTAGATCTAAAAAGTGCAACAATCCATTTTTTTGCCCCTTCTTCTCTTTAAAAAACTGTAGATTTGTTTTTCAAAATACCATTGTATACCTCAATTGGAATTGCATGTTCATACATAAATAAATTAAAATCAAATTCAAATAAATCATTATATGTAAAATAAAATATTATAATCAATAATTAGTAACTTTTTAAAAAACTTACAAACTTTTCATTATACATATCTAAAATATAAGATAAATATCCAAGACATTTATTGTTGTCATTTTGTGAAACTATTTTTTGGGTTTTTCACTTAGTCATAGATGCCTATGATCCCAATGTTCGAAAAACTAATGTTATGATGTGATGATAAACTTATAGTATTATAATAGGATAAGAAAATAAAAAGATAATAAGATTATAATACCAGAGATCTTCAAATTTTTATTTTATCTAAACCAGTTTTCATTTAATTGAGTTTTACAACTTCATATATTTTGTTGTTGTATTATCTTTACAAAGAGTAGTGATATATAGAATTAAAATGAGTCACTAAAATTCGGATCCTATAAATCATACATTAAATAAGTTGATGTACACAATGTTATAAATTTTAGTAAAAAAAAAAAAAAAACCATTCATTAATATAGAATTCATCTTTTAATATTTTAAATAATGTAACTTATATTATTTCATCAGTCTGACATTTTTTTCTAATTATTATTATTCCTTTACAAAATAGTAATTTATCTTTACCAAATAATTAACTAAGTGTTAATAATTACTTAATATAATATATACTATTATATATTATAAAAATATAATAAAATGCTATGAAGTAAAGATAGCAACAATGGGTTAACTGTGAGTATTTCTTCGAATATCTTGACATTATTAAATTTATTTCAATTAAAATTTTTAAATATAAACGATAATTTAGAAAAATTATTGTAATTGGAAGCATAGGAACATCCTCTAATACTCTTTCGAGTTTTCTTTTGCTATTTCAAACATTTTCAAATACAAAAAATAGTGAAGACTTACTAATTATAGTACCAAATTAATATTTACGTCCAAAAGCAGACTAATCAACTCACATACAAATGAGGGCAATCAATATCATAATCTATGGCATATAGCAAAAAATGGTTGAAAAATAACTAAAACTTTAATAATTTTTTCAAGTTTTATTAAAAAAAATGTTCATAATTTATAACAAACAGAAATTAAAATATAAGTTTAGAGTACAAATATAACTTTTTATATTGTATATTATAATCATCATTTCCAACTATTTGTTATACATGTTTCAATTTAGTAACCTAAAATAGATAGTTTTGAACCATTAACCACAATTTATTTTCTTTTTTTAAAATTATTACTTAACTAAAAAATACTCTAATAATTCAAAATATTAAAATAAATAAATAAATAACCAAAATTCTTGATAAAAACTTAGGATAAAATCCCTCGTGAAGCAAGATAGGTACCACTACTTAAATAATATTAGGGGGTGAGCATTTTTGGGTACAAGTCAAGTTTGACCTATATTTAATATTTAATTTAAAAATTTTTAGGTATAATTTTTTAGACTTGGTACCTATTCAAATACTCAAATATCTATTCTTGGTATTTTTGACAAGGGTAATGGTTAGGAAGTTAGTTTTAATTAATTGTTAGCAACTGAAGATTCGATCCCCAGATCGGGTGAATATTCCACTCCTCAAATGAGGCACACGGCTATTGGGCCGCTTTGGTTGAGTTTATCTATTCTTGGTATTTAACCTAACAGATATCAAAGAATTTGTAAGTATATATTTATGCACTTAACTTAAGAAAGAAAATATTTAGTATAAGATGTTATTATTACATGTAATATGCGTTTAGTTTAAAATTTATTACTTATATGAATTGTTATTACTGTGTTTATGATTTGTTTGACTTATATGCTTGACTTAACTTTTATTTTTATTTTTTGTATTTTATTATTTTTATTTTTAAAAAATATTATTATATAGATATAAAATGTAATAAGTGCATGCAAAATTTCAATTATAAAAATATAAGTAACAAATCAATTAAACAAGTTTTTTTAAACAAATCAAGTAAACAGTTCTTAATCTTTATATTTGTTACTTGATTTTATACTTACAAGTATATTATTTTCATACTAATTACTTACCTATTTTTTCTACTGTTTGGGTATAATACTTATCTAAATTAGTAAAATATTTTGTAAATAACGGATATATTCATACCCAATACTCATTTTTAAATAATATTTATGTATGTATAACCAGCTCAATGGGCCATGTCCAGCAAAATTGTTTATGGATCAGTTAGTTTTTGAGTCCAGCCCACGCTAAACGAAACGGTACGTGGCGACGGATTATTGGAAGCAATATGTCATGTGAAATTCCCAACACCAACACCACCACCACCGAGTGCACGGGCTTTGAAGTTGAAGACTCCATCTTCGTCGTTCTCCTGCTTCCGGCGTTTTTGCATCTACCAGATTATCAGCTTCCTTAAGTAATTACAGTTTAAAATTAATATAGAATTAAAAAGAAAGGAGATGAGATTGCTGTTCTGCTTCTTGATGGTTATGTACGTTCTCTACCACCACCACCACCACCAACATGTATTAGCCGATCAGATCTTCCCAGCTCATGTAGGTAATCCCAAGTTTCCTTCTTCATGCGTGTTTAATTCTTTGTATCATCTTTGTTTTTCAAATATTTTTTGTGCTCAAATTTCTGATCTTCTTTCTGGGTTTTTTAATTTAGCCATAATAATATTTGATTCATTTTAAACTGAACCTGAGCTAACTTTTATATTCGAATGGTTGATGGTTTTTTGAGATAATAACTGAATCAAATATGGTCTTTTTATAGTTAATTATTCTGCCTTTCATGGTTAATTATCAATTGCATTATTGGAGCAAAAGGGTAGGGTTAATTTTGGTTATTTTTTATATTATTTTTAAATATTGCCGGAGTGTTGGTTTTCTTTTAATAATCTAATCAAAAGTACAAATAACTTAGCAGTGTTAAATTGTTGAGCCACAAAAAGAGCTTCTAATGTTTAATTGCGCCAGGAAATGGCTGATTTCCTGGTTTTGGAATCAAATACAACTTATCAGTGTTATTGTTGTCAGTCTTATCGTTGAGTCGAGTGAGATCAGAGATTTTTCATCCAATCATAGTCGCATGGCACTCCAAATGTATTTCAAGTTTCTGTTTTCTCTAGAAAGATTTGAAGTTTAGTGTCACTGTCTTTAGTTATGGTTATTTTTCCTAAAAAAACTGCTAAAAGTTGGTTCTCATCTCTAATACTTTGCTGATCAGCAGGTGGCACATTTGGCCGAAGTTCTCGTGAACCAAAATACAAGATTGAGTTTCATCCAGAAGACTCACCTTTCCATCCTGTAAGTATAGTATTTGAACATATTTTTGCCAGTCAGATCTATCAGTCATTATTTATAAATCTGGATAAATCCTTCAGAAACATCTTTCTGCCCTTTCTTTGTTTGTTTCTTTTCTTCCTTTGCTTCTTCTTTTTTTTTTTTTTTTTGGATAACATGTATATCACCTTTGGCCTGACTAGTCTCAAGGGCACCTGGAAACCACCTATTCCATAAAGACTAGGCAAGACTCCACCCAAGGTTGCTGACATGGCCCATTGTAAACTTCTTCTACTGTAATGGCAATGGAGGGATTTCCCCTCTTTCTTTATTTGGAAAGAATTCTGATTTAACTGGGATATTTTATCCTTGGCTTGCAAGAAACTGCTTTATTTCTGTTGTTTGTTGTCGGTTTCCCAATTCTTTCCATGTCCTCATGATATCATCCCATCATTTTTTTATATCCCAAACTTTGGAGTTTCCCACCCTCTTCCCTCCCAGTTCCTTTGTTTTCTCTTTTCTTTTTTCTCAAAAATAATTATGGTTTTCAGTACATATGCATTATCCATATTTATCACATTCAGTTTCTATTTAAATATAAAATTGTGCTCAAGTTCTGCAAGTCATAGACCTCTCATGCCTATTAAGTTCTTATGCTGTTTGATGGAATTGTAAAACATACTGGTCTTTCAAAACCAGCTTACTTTCTAACAACACCATCTTCTTCTTCATTTTTTGGGTAATCATGGGGATGAAGTCCATGTGACAACACCATCTGGGTATGTAGTCTGGCTGCATGATTCATTTTTGTCATATAAACAGTGAACTAGTTATTTGGATCATTTACTTTCTAAATGAATAGCTCAGTATCCTTATGAAACAAAGTTTCTTGTATGATACATGATGCTGAGAATCTGACGCTTGACTAATTCGATTATATTAAATAAGTTAAGGGATTTCTTTTCTTTGAAAGGTTTCTGCTAAATAATGTTCCTAGTAGGCATAACCAGTTTGTTTTCTGAACAACAATTATGAATGAAAAGGGAAATTAGTTTCGATGCAGCTATTATGTTATGTTTGTTCATACATGATTAATTCAGCATAGAAGGTTTACATTATGAAAATTGGTAGTCTATTCTGATTTCTATGATCAATGAATCTAAGGATCTGCTTCTTCAGCAGATATTGATCAAGAGTTTAAACATTAAATATTTGTAACTATCATCAATGTCTTGTCCATTATTCTTGTCATACATATCTCTATTTTTTTATTGAATGCATGAGGCTCTTATGGGCCTAGTTTTTCACTTTTTCTAAGCCAACTCTTCCTTTCAAGTTCCTTTCTTCTTGAATGAACCTCCAAGTGAACCTATGGATTTCTTGAGGAATCTGTGTTTGAAGAATTGAGAATGTTTTCATGATCATCCTAGTCCCATATCTTGTGCAGGATGATGAACAAGAATCTCTTGTTCTGCCTGATAAAAATGGAAAAAATTTTTTATGTTTCTTACCTAAGTTGGAAAAATCCAAGAGTGGGAAGCCAGTTATTCAGCAAAATACTAGTAGCATGATTGTGGAAACTGAGAAGCAAGTTAAACTGAAGACACCAGATGAACTACTTGAAGTGCTTAAAGAAAAATGCTTTATTAGGGTAAGTTTCTGTTGCCAAATAAACTGTTTCTTGTTTCTTGGATGTTTCTAACGTTGGATGATGTTACTGTCATCGGAAATTGTGGTAGAATAAGTTTGCACATTGTTTTTACTTGGAATTGCCTGATTTGCTTTCGCTTAAAAAGTTGCTTACTTTGGCATAATCTTTTGTGCTTACGTTACTGACTTATTTGTGCAGCAAGAGGGTTGGTGGTCGTATGAATTTTGCTATCAGAAGACGTTACGGCAACTTCATTTGGAAGATGAAGTTGGGTATCTTATTATGTGTATTTAAATTGTTTTTGTTTTACACTAGACTAGATTCTTTTCTTGCTGATTTGAAAGTTTGTTTCTATCATATATTCTTTGATCAGGGAAAATTTTTTCCTTATGAAACAAAGTAATACTTTCTGTGAACTTCATTCTGACTAGGAGAAAAGAAATGAATCTTTGGGCAGTAGTTTAGGACACTGAAATTGATCTTGAAGTTACTGATTGGACTATTCATACTAGCTCCAGGGATAGTTATAAAAAGCAGCAGCAGCATGCTTTCTTTTGTTTGAATTAAATTAGGACCAATTGTTGTAAACTTTAGAATTTGTATATTTCCATTCCAATTATGAAATAACTAGGTAGTAGGATTTAGAGCCTAGTTCTTACAAGAATAAAGACTGTGAACTGATAAGAGTAGTTATTTTGCTGTTTTAGGTGGTTCAAGAATTTATCTTGGGTGTATATGATGAAGAAGCCACAGCTTCTTTCAACCAGAATCTTTCTGACATCTCAACATTGAAAGATCCTCGCTCAAAAGATGCATCACAGAGGTGTTAATTACTGATTAATAATTTGGATCGCATCTCCTCCTTGAGGGTCTTTGTTTTATTGAATGGAAAAAGGTTTCTTGGGATATTGACCAGAAGAAAAAGTGGTTTAGTAATAATCCTATATGGCTTTTGTAGGTATCATGCTCACCAATATACAAATGGTACCATATGTGATCTTACAAATCAGCCACGAGAGACTGAGGTATGAAGCAATTTGGTAAAAGAAACATACAATTGTTTGTGTGTGTGTGTGTGTGAGATTAGTTTTCAATTTCTCTTTTGTTTTTCTTCAACTTTTGCAGGTCAGATTTGTGTGCTCAGAGCCCAGAGCTATGATCAGCTCAATTACAGAGTTATCAACTTGCAAGTATGCAATTACCATACAGTGCCCTATGCTGTGCAAGCACCCGTGAGTTTTCAATCTCTCTGCAAAGTTATTACTGCCAATGATAGAGTTAATAATAATTTACTGCAAGTAGGGGATAAGATTTACTTTCAGGTGATTTAAAGAGAATACGTGAATTTGGCCAAAAAAAGGGAGAATACATGAATAACAAAGCATAGTAACTCTTCTACTTTTGTGGTGCCCTTTAGTTTGACTACTTGTCCTTTCTTCTGAAATAGTCCACACTCTTACAAAATACAATGAGACCATTTGCAGGAAACCATTATTTTGGTATCTGACATAAAATTCTCAAATTTCATATAATCTTTTGACTGGAAAGTTCTCAAATGATATATGAACTGGACACTTGGGGTGTAGGTTTGGGAGTCAGTTCAGTTAACCTAGTTGATTTGAAAACCAACCAAAGACTAGTTTGGAATTCAGTCTAATATTTTTTGTTAACTGTTGGAGTACCCTTTGTACTTTCAATCAATAAAATCTTTATCGCTGCTGATAAAAATGAAAATTGGAAATTCGGTTTGATCACCTGAAAATTTTGGTTATTTTAATTAATTATCCAATTTTAACTGAATTCATTTAACTTTTAAAAACTCCCTAAGTAAATTTTTTAATCCTTAATCATTAACCAAAACCAAATACTTTAGTTAACTGTGTTTCTAACCCAATTAACTGAACCAAAAAAATTTGGTTTGGTTTGTAATTTTGGTTAACCTAGAATCAACGGAAATTCACCCACCTGTACTTGGGAGCTTGATAGTTGTTGCAATACCTAAAATGAAAAGGAAATATTGCTGCTGCTGCAGATGAACCCCATAATGGATATGCTAGTAATTACTCCAGTAGTATGTAGGACGGAGTACTCGCCTTACCCGGACAATGATAATTGCTTCGCCTCAAAAGATGAAAATTCAGTGTAATTGCACCATTTCTTCTGCTTGTAAGAATTGATTTGTTGCAGCTCTCTGGCCCTCTTTTGCCAACAAAAACATGCATCTTACATGTTGATGGTAAGAAATGAAGATAGGTTATTTACGAACTTGTCCCCTCATAACTAGCCTTGGGCTGAAAGCACTATAAAACCACAAGCTTATTGCACACTGTGTACATGTCATGAACAACTCAACTTGAAAGTTAAAACTGATTAGTGAGACCACAAGTATAGGTATATTTGCTTGCAGCCACCAGCAAATGTGTCAGTTGTTTGTTTACCTCTTTGCTCTGATTTCTAGCCTCTGCATTGCAGTTTATTCCAAGAAGAGAGACCAATCTGGCACACCATTAACTGTAATGCGCTTCCCAAGGACTACAAGGAAACCGGAAAAGAGAAAGACCAATTCCAAGACAAGCCGATCACTATGATAGCAGACTTGTGATATCAATGGTATCAAGCTCAGCATAATATTTAGCGTAAAAATGGTTGGAAAAACCTTCGGTATTATCGTACGGATTGGCATTTGTTGAAACAAACCTTTCTTAGTTTCTGTTTCAAGTTTGGCAATTTTGTAAAAATAAGGACACAATCTTTTAAAACTTTCTTAATTAAGGATATAATATTTTTTTCCTTACTAATTAAGGTTACTGCCTTTTAAAATTTTCTAATTAAGCGGATGTGGGTAAATGTGCATGATTATATTATTGATTACAATTTTTTGAAAGGTCGTAACTTGAATTAACGTAAGGGAAAAAAGGTCATAACTTTAATTAGAGAGATTTAGAAAATTTGTATCCTTATTTATAGAAAATTTCTTCTAGTTTTTAATAAATTAACTCTGTTTGTTAAGGATTTATAATCTGAGCTGTGCCATACATTTTACACAACATGAAAAGAAATCCTTTGGTTGAAACACTTTGTGAAACCATGGAATTAAGTTTTTATTTTATTTTTCATTTTTAATGTTTTGGCTTTCAATGGATTTATGGGATTATGTTTGATTTGATGAAAAAACTATTTTTCTAATAAAACTATAAATATATAAGATAAATTGTGAGTACTGTTTGCAAGGAAAGTATATATATATATATATATTTTTTTGGTTAAATACCTTTTTTGGTCCCTCTACTATAGGAAAAAGCCCCTTTTTGGTCCCTGTACCGAAAAAATTTATTTTATTTTTCATTTTTAATGTTTTGGCTTTCAATGGATTTATGGGATTATGTTTGATTTGATGAAAAAACTATTTTTCTAATAAAACTAT